CCATTCCAAACAGCAGGGGGTCTCATGTACATGCATGGGAATAGCTCACCGCCGTGTCCAAGCTTCAGCTACACCCTCTCCAAACAGCTGCCCTTCCACCACCCTTTGGCCAGGGGTGCACACACTGGTTGATGATGCCCACACAGGTCCTGCAAGTAGACTTGGGCCATCTGAGCTGGAGATTTCCATGACCTGCCTACCCCAAGTGTGGTCTAAAAGGAGAATGCAGATCCCCGGAGGGCACATCCCCTTGGTCTCAGGGACCTCTCACACCCCATGGGGGGAGGCTGGCTGATGGGGGATCAGAGCAAAACCCTCCAGCATGGGACCCAGGCCAAGACCCTCCTTGTCCAAATCTAAGCATAGAAATACCTCTCCGAGTTTGTCTCTCCATCTGTAAAAAGGGGATATGAATAGACCTTCCTCCACAGAGCTGCTTTGTTAAACGAGTCAACACACATAAGTTCACGACATGAAGTAAGTAGTTAACGAATGTCAGTTATTATTGTAAAGAATATAAATGGACAGAGACCTAGAAACCATGCCAAGAGAAGACGTTTCTGACATCCCTGACCTTTAAACTAATCTAGATTTAGGTTTGCTTCCCTGTTTTAGAAATTACCTGGAAAGGATCCATGTTCCCATCAGGCTGGGCAAAGTAGGACATGGAACTCACTGAGGGAAGGGTTCCGGGTGACAAGGACAGGCCTTTCCCCCAGAGTAGGGGCCACTGACAAGCTCAGGGGTATGTCTGGGGGGCACCAGGAGGGCTGTGGAACCCAGAGGGTGGTATAGGAGATCCCTAGAAATTCTGATCTCCCTGGAGAACTCTCACCACACTGTCAGAGCCGGGAAGGTAGGGACATGGCATCTGGCTGAGAGGCTCCATTTTTGGTAGCCTGCAGTTCTGGACTGGCAGAGAAACAAGGATATCACAAAGTCATGGTTTTAGGAGACTTTCAAGAGCATCTAGTCCAAGGTGTTCCTTTCAATTAGGGGGAGGCTGAAACCCAGAGAAGGCAGGGATCTGCCCCAGGTTACCCAGCCATTCAAAGGCAGAGTCCAGGCTGAAACTCAAGACTCCTAATTCTGGTGGAGATTGCTTCCATCACACTGGTCAGCCTGCTCTGAGCCAGGGGAAGGCAGAGAAGTGAGTCCAGCGAAGGGGTCAGAGGCACAGAGGGTGGGAGGTTGTGACTAGGAACTGACTCCCAGACCTGGCTCTGCCACTCACGGCTCACGAACTCTCAGGTCATAACTGTGCTTTCTTCCCCCGAACTGCAACGTCTATTTCTGTGGGTGCTGTTGGGCTAGAGGAGAAAATTAGTAATATTATTATTAGTGTTTATTGGGCACGGGGTCAGGCATTCTGTTGGGTTCTCTCATGTTTTACCTCATTTAATCCTCAAGCAACTCTGTGGGGTGGGAACTAGTATGGCCTGCCTCCCATTTCCTGGATGAGAAAGTTGGGCCTCAGAAAAGTTAAACACCTGGCCCAGGGTCATCTAGTTAGTGAGCAGCGGAGTCAGGGCATGAAGCCATCAGAGGCTCTGCTCTTGACCTTTGAGCCACCCCACCTCGCACACTAACTGCCAAGTGTCCTGCACAGTGGGGTTTCCAAATAGGTGGAGAAAAGGGCCAGGAGAGTCCTGTGGACTCACTAGGTGGAGTCCCCAGAGGGAAGAGGGACCTCGGGTGTCTCACCGAGAGCAGGGTTCCCGTTAATAAGTGGAAACTCTTGTTAATAAGTCCTCCCCTGAGAGGACTAGACTCTTCTACTTTGTGCCAATATCCTGCTTCTCCTACATGACTCTCTTTCCACCGCTCTCCACGCAGCAGCTCCTCCCCCTTCTCAGGGAAAATCTGTCCATCAGTCAGCCCACTTCTGGAGATCCTTGGCTTTCCGTGGGGCTGCAGATCCACCTATTGCCACCAGAGGGCGGGCCAGATCTGTGGCCAAGTCTTAAGGACCCAGTACTCCTCAGGACGTGGCAAAGTGTCCAGCGGGGGATGGACCTAGATGCCCTACAGCAGGGCCTTTCGTTACACTTTGCCATCATCTTACTCCCTCAGGACTCAAAACGTCTAACTGAAGTTCACCTCGTGTTCAGACATGGTGTCTGGTTCTACAGGGATAAGGATCTTAAGCGTCAACATCAAAAAAGTCATGACAACAGCCCCCACCACAGACACTGGTCAGAACTTCATTTTACTGAGCACCTTCTCATACTTCGAGTGACTGGAGACTCATCAAAGCCTTATGAGTGAGCGGCATATTCGCACTAACAGATCAGGGAACTGAGGAACTCATCGGGAAGGGGAGTGACTTGTCTGGGGTAACAGACAGAACCCTGGTCTTCAGACTCCAGGGAGAGCCGGTTCCAATCCCCTGCCTGTTGGGAGGTGGGGGTGAGGAGGGGGGCGCTGAAAATGTGGGTAGAAAGAGGAACGAGGGCTCAGAATATCCTACCAGGAAGGCCAAGTGCATTGTGGTATTTCCTGTGGACGGACCAGCCAGCCAGCCACTCAGCCACCATCAATCCCAAGTAGGCATTGAGCCCCCGCTGGGGACACAGTGGAGAGTCAGCAGATAACTACAGAAAACCGATGCCTGTATAATGGTATATGAGCAGGGGGTTGACAACGGTCAGCAGCATACTCGAGCTGGGGTGTCCCCAGGGGCACCGAGGCCTGAAGGAGAGGCCTAGAGTCAAGGACTGTTGGCGGGCGCACCCCTATCCCTGAAGCTCACCGGGGATGGGGGCTCCCCTCCCGGCCTCTGGTTCCCACCTGTGTTGGGGGCCCGGGGTCCCCTCGCTCCTCTCAAGGGAGAGCGGGCCGGGGTGCTGATGACGGCGCACCTGAGTCAGCCCTCCGCCCACCCGCCCCTCAGCGTCTGTCTACGCATCTTGTGGTATTTCGCTCCCCGGGAGCCAGCCCCACTGCGCTCCGGAGGCAGCTCGGCAAACAAACCCAGCGACAGATTGTGCCGCGGCTCATACCGGGGAAGGACGCCAAATCCCACCCTGCTACCCCCAACACTCCCTCCCCGCCTCCCTCTCCGGGCCCTCTTCCCCGGCGCGGGCCCTCCGCTGGGTGGGTCCCGGGAAACGCAGGCGCCTAGTCCTTCTAGAGGTGGGAGGCGGAGCAGAGCCCCAGAGATCCCCCCTTTCTGCTCCTACGCGACCCGATCGAGGGAGGGCAGGAGAGGAAATTAGGTGCCCAGAGGGCCTGGGAGCCCGGGAAGAGCAGAGGATGGAGCCAGCAGGGGGCGCCAGAGCGTCGAGGTGCAAGTGGGCCGGGAGCTTGCTGAAGAACTGGGCTGGGAAGGAGACCGCGGGCCAGACGGAGGCACAGGAGACCCGGGGATGGAGAGACGGAGAGGCAGGGAGCCGCAAGGACCGGAGGGGAGTGACGGAGCCACGGGGAGACAATGAGAGAGACAGAACGACAGAGGGACAGATGCATAAAGGGAGGCAATGACACGGAGGGCGGGGAGGAGGGAACAGAAAGAGACGGAGACCATAAAATAGGAATAAGAGTGGGGGGGAGGAATGGGGAAAATGGAACGAGAAGGAGGGGAGAATGAGACTGTGGATGGAGAAGAGCGTGAATGGGGGAACGAGACCAGCATTTACACAGCGCCGACTGTTTGCCGGGAGCTGCGAGGCAGTCGGACACGGGCGGGCCAGGGGCGGACACGGGGGCAGGGCGAGGGGCTCCTTCCTCCGTCGCCGGGAGGAGCCGCCGGGGCTCCCGCGCGTCCGCCAGCCGGGCTGGGCCGCGCGCAGATGGCTCCGGCCCCGGCCCTACGCGCCGCTCCGGCAGCCCCAGCCCCGCCAGCGCCCTTTGGCCACGATTCCCCCCCCCACACACGCCCCCACGCCTATCCCGTACCGGGAAGGCTGCCAAGGGCCGGATGCCGGGCCCTCTGGGCCGGGTCAGAGCCGGGACGGTGGACAACGCCGCCTTTGTCAGGAAATGTTAGGTCAGGTCACTGGCTGGCTGGTATCGCCCGGAACGCGGCCTCCGAAGGCATAAGGGACCCCCATGAGATCAGAACGCACGTCTCTAAAAGGAAGCAGAAGCAGCTTGCGCGAAGCCAGCGGTCCCTCCCCACCCCTGAGCCCTCTCCTGTCCCCCGCGGGAAATGAGATATCCCCTTCCGCACACACTAACATACACAAACAATGCACACAGTCACACGCGCACCCAAACTTGCACCGGCTCGCGAACTGTATCAAGAGACACGCACACTCCCGGACACATGCACCCCGGCCGCCCATCCCCAAGTTCGCTCCGCCGAACTCTCGCACAGCCTCACAGCCAGCGCGGACACGCTCGCGGGCGGGCACTCAACGGCTCACCCGTGGGCACACTCTCGTGCCCCCCGCTTCCCTGAGCCCATAAAAAATGTAGCGTGCGAGCACTCAAGAATCGCACCTGCACCGGCGTCTGCGTGCGCGCCTGCACGTTCCCCTGCGCTCCACCGAGCAGCACACAAACTCTTGCCTATACTATTCTTACACACAGGTGCACACTCCCAGGGCTCGGGGTCCAAGAAACGAAGGGAATAGGAGCCTTGACGCGCTCCCAGGGAAGAGACATTTTGGAGGCCTGGACCTCGGCACTAGGGACGCCGCGAGGAGGTGGGGGTGACCAGGGAGCCCGGCCCATCTCCTCCGGATAACTGGGAGGGGGGAGCCGGGCAAGTCCGCGGGGTTCCCACACACCACCGCACCCCCTCTGTAAGGGATTTCCCTGGAAGCTCCGCGCCGCGAAGGCAATCGAACACGCTCCTCCGGGTCCTCCAGGGAGGGGACGGGTCCGGGAGGGAGGGGGCTGCAGAGCCGCTCCCGCCTCCTAGTGGCCACGAAAGGGTTAAATCGGCAAGCTAAGAAGCGAGGGAGGAGCCAGCGAGTGCGGGAAGGAGTGGGGGTGGTTGGGAAGAGCATCCTCGCCGTCCCCACTCTCCCTCGGCTCGCAGCCGGGGCGCGCGGACCCGAGGACTGACGGACCCGCACGCCGCCCGCGCTGCTGGGGGCGCCGGCGCCCGGCGCAGACGGCCAGCTCCGGCCTCCCCGCCCAGTCGCGCCCCGCCCCGTCCCGTCGGGGCCCATGGCTCCTCCCGAGGCCCGCAGCCCGGGGGGCGCAGGGTAGAGTGCTTCGGCCTGGCCTCGCGGTCCCGGGACTCCCGGGCCCTCCCGGAGCCCCGCGGAGTCCCCGCCGTCCGTCCGGCGGGCTCAGGGAGCGAGTGGGAGCGCCCCCCACCGCCGCCCCCTCCCCCGAGCGTCGAGACAAGATGCTGCCCGGGCTCAGGTGCTTGCTGCAAGGTAGGGACCCAGCCCGCTGGGGAGCGGAGGCCGTCCGGAGGAGGGGAGCGGGGCACCCCCGCCCTCAGGGCTCGAGGGTGGGGCAGTTGCGGAAGGTGGGGGCGGCCGGCGAGGAAGAAAAGGGCTTCATCCCGGGCCCCGCCCCCGCCCCCAAGGCTGCGGGCTGGAGGAGCGCGCCGGACTCGGAGACTGCCCGGCTGTGTGGGGACCTCGTGACCGTAGGGGGACGCAGGGGCCAGGCGGACCGGCCTGCGGGGAGGGAGGGAGGGAGGCTCAGGTTCCGCTGTCCCAGCTCCACCTGCTCCTGGGGACGCTGAGGACTCGGGCCGGCTGGGGAAGCGCCGACTCAGCAACTTCTCGTGCCCCGTGCCTCAGCACTTTGCAGTCACCCGAGAGGACGAGGGATGTGGGCAGGGGGCGGTCTGCGAGGGTGGGGGTGCAGAGGGAAATCCAAGTGCCTCCCCCCCACCCCACGTAGGGCAGATGGAGGGCGCTGGAGAGGGGATAGTTCCAAGGATTGAGTGACAGCCAAGGGTGTGGGCCAGAGACCGGGGGCGGGGGAGGGGCGGGGGAGGGGGGGCAGGAGGATGCGAGGGGGCTGTTATCGACCCGAGAAAGTGGTTAGGGGAGGAGGGAGACCAGCAGGAGGAAGAGGAGGAGGAGGAGGAATAAAGGTTAGACGGGGAAGCATGGAGGGAAGTGGGACCCAGGGTAGGACCGAGGAAGAGGGAAGGAGAAAGGACCCCAGATGAAGGGAAGGGTGAAGAGAAGACTCGGGATGAGCACCCGGAATCTGGGGGTGGGCGTCACGGGAATGAGCCCGGGGCCTTCGGGACCTGGAAGGGAGGGGGAGGGGGAAGATCAGAAACCTGAGGACGAGGCTGGGGGATAGAGATGGAGTCTCAGGAACCGGGGAGAGAGGGGGTCCAGGATGAGCACCAGGGTTGGAGCCAGGGAGCCATGGATGGAAGAGGGGCTAGGAGTTGACGCCAGGGTGGGGGTGGGGGCTGGAAAGGAAGGAGGGGGAGGAAGAGAGGGATGGGGTGGGGGTGGGGAAAGTTGCCAGAGACGAGACAAAGACGCTTCTGGTAACCACTTCCACGTGGGAAGCCCTCCCTTCCCAACGGGCCTGTCACATCTCTTCTCTCAGGGAGTGGTCCGTGGGGCAGGCCCGGAGCTCGGGGCTCAGGGCTTCGAGGGACGGCTGTGAGGAAGAGCAGGGAGGACATTTTCACCGAGTGGCAGCCTCCGAGGGTGGGCTTCCTGGCTGCCATTTATATCTGCAGGCCTCACGTCGGATCCTGCAGCCGCCGCCGCTGCCGCGGTGACTGCTTATTTTGGGTGTCACATTCTGGCAGAGTGAGAAGCTGCTTGCAGAAGTCTAAACCTCCATAACCGTCAGTGCCTCCCCAGGCCCCGCGTCACTGGCATCGCCACCCCCTCCTACGCCCCTGCACCTTCGGGCCCCCAGCCTTTTGGCTGTGGAGCTGTTGCTTCTCACCTGGGACCTTGGGACCTTTCTTCAGAGTCAAGGACCTTGACCCCCCTTTGCTGGGGCTGCTGCGCCCTGTGGGTTGGCACCCTGGCCCCAGCCCTCTAGCCTAGGGGTCCATCAGCCTCCTCTTCTGGGGCCTCTGAACCACACGGTGGCTCCGGGGGTGAGAATTTGTTTCTGAGCTTGGTGCTCCAGGGTGATGGCCCAGAGTCCTTGACAGTGGTCCCTCAGTGAATGGATACTTTTGGCTCTGGGCACCTCCGCCTTCCAGGATCGATGCCATGTTCTGGCCTCTCTCCATCCCTCCCCTGGTCAGTTCTGGCCATATCTCCTAGACACTGGTCATCTCTCCTTGACTCCCAACAGTGTCCCCCTAGAGTAGCCCCAACCCAGAGCCCAGGAGAGGGAAGTTGCAGAGAGAGCCTGGGCTCCTTCTTTGCCTTGACCCTGAACAGCCAGACAGACCCAGGATCAGTGTTGGCCCAGCCCTGTGCACCTGGGCACAACTTCTTCCCTCCCTTTACCTGCAGGGCAGTGTCTCTCACACTCAGGGGTGCTTTCCTTAGATGACATGAAATCTCCCAAAGAAAAACCAGAAATCCCTTTGTACGTGTCCTTGTCCATTCTGGGTCCTTCCTGTACTCACTGTGGGACCTGAGGCTGCTCACTTCATGTTTCTGAGCCTCCTGCCCCTTTCCCGCAAACCCAGCCGTAATATGGATCTCACAGGGTCGTGTTGCATGGTATGTGAATAAAGACATGTACAGATCCAGGGCCTGGCACACAGTAGGTGCTTAATAACATATGCTTTCTGCCCATCCTTGCTTTACACTCTCCTGCAACTCTCGCCATTACTTGCTAACTTTAGGAGGAAAGAGAAGGATGGGGTGAGTGGAGAGGGTGGGGATGCTGTTAGAAAGGGCTTTCCTTGGCCCCTATAAGAGGAGAGAGATGACAGGAAGTCTTCGTGAAAGGTGCAGGAGGCAGACTGTCGGAGATTCTGGTCAGGAGACCCGGGCAGCTCACTCAGAAACTGAGCCTTCTCCTCTTCAGCCTTCCGTCGTGTTGCCTGGGAAATAGGGAGTTTGCTCGGGTGGTGTCTGAAGTGCCCCCCTTCCAGCTGTGACACCCTGTGCATCTGGCCTGTCTTTGCCAGGCATTCACAAAACAAGGGCCGGAAGTGGGACTGTGGTCCCGGAGAGAGAGGAGGACACAGGCCAGGAGGGAAGGAGTGACAGTGAAGAGCCGTGGGAAGCAGAGGGTAGGAAGGGGACTGTGGGGAGAAGGAAAAGGGCACATGCCCGGCAGGGACCGGCAGAGGTCGAGAGTGGAGGAGGGAGAGAGAGGCATGGCTCACCAGCCCCCACTGCCTCAGCCAGGGAGCATCCAGCCAGGCCTGGGGGCAGAGAAACCCAGTGCCCCCCACCTTCCCCTCCTCCTGGCCTCCAGTGAGAGCTGCAGCCTGAATTATGGATGAGGCTCCTTGGGTTACAGCTGCTTTGCATGGCTGTGAGGGCCAGAAATGGCAACAGAGTCACTGTTACGCAGCAGCTGTCATGGAGGGGCCCGTGCTCAGGGCCCCTCCTCAGAGAGCTGCCAGGAGCAGGTCTCGGGCTTGGGGAGGTGGGCCAGGATGGGGGCGATATGGGGACGAGAGGGAGGGGGTGTAGGGAAAGAAGAGAGGAGCCCCTCATGGGGACAGGTAGGGAGCCAGTTGTGAGTAGAGGGAGGCGGGCCCTGCTGAGGGGCTGAGCAGCCTCCAGGGAGGAAGAGACCCTGGAAACCAGGGAGGGACCCCCTGGCTCTGGGATGGCACACCCTTCCCTCCGTCTGCCCTGGGTACCAGTCAGCCCTAGAGGCTGGGGCAAGAGCTCTCCTCCTCCCCAGGAGTGGCGGCCTCAGAGCTCACATTCCTGTGAGTTTGTAGATAGATAAGCGGTGGGATTAAGGGACCAGAGAAGGATTTGGCTTTCTCTGGTGTCAAGTCCTTGGGGAAGCAAGCTTAGAAGGTGACTGACTCTGCCAGGAAGGGAAGCGCCCTGGCCAGGCATCAGGAGACTCCTTTCTGGCTCTTACCCTGCCAACCACTTTGCTGTGTGACCTTGGGCAAGTCGCTTGCCTTCCCTGAACCCCGATTGATTGCGACCTCAGCCAAACAAGAACTTGAACCAGATGAACCTGGAAAATCTTTCTGACTCTGCAGTCTCCTGTTCTAAGCCCCGAACCTGAGCCCTGGCTGAGAGACCTGCCCAAGGTTCCCTGCCGGGTTCAGACGAGGGGTGAGAGACATGCTCCTCCATCCCACGTGGCTCTGAGAAACTCAGGAGGAGAAAGTAATCGTGAAACGCCGCACGGGGGAGGGGTGAGAAGGGCCGAGAAACGCGGAGGTGGTGTGAACGAGTGGCACAGCCGCGCTGTGTCACTGAGTATTACATCACACCCAGCCCACACACGCAGGGGGCTGGCACTCACACACACACACACACACACACGCATGTGAGGACAGCCAGCACACGGTCTCACACGCGCGCCCTGCACGGTGGCCGCAGGGAGGGGTGGGGATGCCTGAGGTGGGGTCCCCCGCCCCTGCGTATGTCTGCACCACACTGGGGGCCTGTGGGGGCCACGCGAGCCCTGAGGCTCCACACCTCTTCCTGTGCGCTCGACTCCGACACAGACACTCGCACACAGCACTCACGGGGCACCGGGCATCGGTCCTCCCCAGGGCCTCCGAGCCCCAGAGAGGCCCGGAGACAGAGACGAGGGCTTTGGGTCCCAGGCCCCGACGCCCTCCCCTCAGCCCTGGTGGGCCTAGCACAGTGGCTGGGGCAGGCAGTGCCCGCTGGACGTGTGCCCGGGGAATGACTTTCCAGCTTTTGGGGCGCTGGCTCCCCTTCTCCCCAGGCAAACCTCCCAGCAGAAAATCCCAGGAGTCAGGGGGAAGTCGTGATAAAGAGCAGAGGTCAAGCCAGTCCTGGCCCAGACCTTGATCAGCTACGGTGAGGGCGGAAGTGGCTGAGCTCCCCAAGCCAGCACAGAGGCGCTGGGGCTTAGACACACCCCATTAGCCCCCAGGCCTTGGAGCCTCCCTAGACTTGCTTCTCCATCTGCATCTTAAGAAGGGTGGACCGTATCCAACCTTCAAAAGTTATTTTGAAAAAAAAAATGTAAGCGACTTTAAATGAAAAGAGCCTGGGTGTGAAATGTAGACTCCCTGGATCTCACCCAGAAATCCTGATTCTGCACAGGCAGGCCAAGGAAGCTGCACTCTTTCCGAACCTCCCGCTGATTCCCTGGCAGGTGGCTGGTGCCCCCAGTTATAGACCCATTGCCCCTGGTCCCTAAGGCCCTTCCCACAGGAAGAGACTCAGGTTCTTCCAAGGTGAAAGCTGCAGGAAGGTCGGGGCTGTGGCCACCAGTGGGCTCAGCAAGGCCAGCCCCTTAGGGCAGCCAGAGAGCCCTTTTCCGCCAGCCTGAGACTCACAGGAGACCTCAATTTAGTCCCAGCCAGTCTCCAGTGGGGGCGACTTTGCTCCTCAGGGGACATTTGGTGATGTCTGGAGGCATTTTGGTTGTCATAATCAGGGGGAAGGTGTTACTGGCATCTAGTGGGTAGAGGACGGGGATGCTGCTAAACACCCTAAATAGGACACCACACGGGACTGTCCCCCACAACAAAGAGCAGTCGGCCCTACTCTCAACACTGAGGTTACGAAGCTTGACAGGTAACCGCTCAGACCCACCACAGTGAAACAAGGATGGAAAAGACGACCACTCAGGAAACAACTCTCAACAGAGCACCGTGCTTTCTGAAGGGTCCTCTCGGCATTTCTTCATTTCTTTATTATTTTTTTAATATACCAGGGGTCTCAAAAAGTGGGAGTGGCCAGGGCCTCTGGCAACTCGGTTACTTGCTCCCGGAACCCTCCCACCTGGGAGCGGCAGGCTCCTCGCCATTAGGGGTGGGTGGGCTGGCTCCTGGCAGGCACTCCTGCCCTCACAGCCTGCCCAGAAGAGCCTGCCCCCCTCTCCCTGCAGGTCCCGCCTCGGCCTGCCTCCTGCTGATGCTCCTGGCCCTGCCCCCAGCGGCCCCCAGCTGCCCCATGCTCTGCACCTGCTACGCGTCCCCGCCCACCGTGAGCTGCCAGGCCAACAACTTCTCCTCGGTGCCGCTGTCCCTGCCGCCCAGCACCCAGCGACTCTTCCTCCAGAACAACCTCATCCGCACGCTGCGGCCGGGCACCTTCGGGCCCAACCTGCTCACCCTGTGGCTCTTCTCCAACAACCTCTCCACCATCTACCCGGGCACCTTCCGCCACCTGCAGGCCCTGGAGGAGCTGGACCTTGGTGACAACCGGCACCTGCGCTCTCTGGAGCCCGACACCTTCCAAGGCCTGGAGCGGCTGCAGTCGCTGCACCTGTACCGCTGCCAGCTCAGCAGCCTACCCGGCAACATCTTCCGCGGCCTGGTCAGCCTGCAGTACCTCTACCTCCAGGAAAACAGCCTGCTCCACCTCCAGGTAAGCCGCCCCACCCAGCGCGCGCAGGCACGCGCGCACGCGCGCACGCTCATGTTTCCCCCTCTGCTCCTCTGTCCCTGTGTGTGTCCCTGCTCTCTCCCCAGGACACCCTTCCTGCCTGGGCATCTCAGCATCTCTCCCCATGTCTGTTCCTTTTCTAAGTGGGACCCTCTCACTTTCTCCAGGGGCTATTCTGCATGTCATCTCCGTTGGTCCGCCTGTCTGTCTAGCCTGTTTGGTTCCCTTGGTACCCCCCACTCTCTCACTCCTCTTACCACCCCCACCACGTGCGTCCCCCTCTGCCTGTGCCTTTCTGTCTGTCCCTTTCTGCCCCTCTCTGCCTCTCTAACTCGCCTCCCCCATCTGTCTTCTGTGTCTTCTGTCTTCCTTCACACGCCCACTCCGCACGCACGCCCATGTCCGTCTGGGTGATGCGTCTCTTTCCCTGATCTCCCCTTTCCCCCTTGTTTGCCTTGGGCAGGGGCTGCCTTTCCCCTGGCACCAGGCCCGAAGGTCTCCCTGGCTGCCTTTCTCCCCACCCCCAGCCCTTCCCACCGCCTCGGTGTCCCACAGAAGTCCCACCTCCTTGCAACACACTGGGTGGTGGGACAAGGGGAAACTCCACCACCCTGTCTAGATTCCCGTCACCAAGCCTTCTGCCTCGCTGAAAGGGAAGAAGGGGGAAAAAGGGTAAAGAGCCGTTAAGTAGCTGAAAGATGGATGCTCTGAAAACGGAAGGAATAACAGTAATTGCTATTTATTGTTATTATTATTGATCTAAATATTGTTTATTGTTGTTGTTAAGCTGACTGTTTGACAGTCAAATCCTCCCATTCTATTTCCCCAGGAAGTAATAACACGCCCTCCAAACCACTCCGGGAGGAAACCCTCCCTGGGCGCCACAGCCCCTGGCTGGAAGGGGCAAGAATATCCAAGTGTCCCGTCCCCGTCCCCGTCCTCCCCCCCCCACCCCGCGCCGGCACACCTGAAAGGCAGGTCCTCCTCCCACCCAGCTTGGCACCTAACTGGTCACCAGTGTGCTGATTTAAAAGTCAAGTCAGGTTGATGCTGATAAAGATAATAACAGAAGCAATAATAATTTGACCAAGTATTGTGCACCCACTGTGTGCAAAGGGCAGAGAGGACAGCATTTAGCAGAGCAGACAGCTCTCCCCGGCCTTCACAGAGATTGCATTCTAGGTGGGGGAGAGAGACAGAAAAACACAGTACCCCCCCTCGGCCCACCCCCACTTTTCTGGGAGAGATACCGAACCTTACACATACTAAGTTTTGGCCGCTACATACACACCTATGCTAAGGTTCATTTAAAAAATAGGCACAATAAAACACTAACAACAGTAACTAATAATAGAACAGTTATAACAATATACTGTAATAACAGTTACGTGAGTGGCTTTGGGGCCATAATTAAGTAAAGTAAGGGTGACTTGACCACAAGCTTGGTGGTACCGCCCGCCAGACTTGCTCTGACCAGCGTGGCGGCTACTGAGTGAGTGGCGGGTAGGAAACCAAGGCAGGGAGGAGATTCTGGACAAAGGGCTGACTCACATCTGGGCAGCTGGGTTAGACGTTCCACCACGCTAATTAGAACAGCACGGGATTTAAAATTATGGAATAGTGTGTTTCTGGAATTTTCTATTTCGTATTTTTGGACCGTGGTTGACCATGGTTGACCGTGCGTAACTGAAAGCACGGAAAGAAAAGTCAATAGTCGGGATGAGGGGTGAAGACTGCTCTGTGCAGCACATTGGAAAAAATATGTTGTGGTTATTTTTTAAGAGCTTACTTATTTATTTTTAGAGAGAGAGGAAGGGAAGGAGAAAGCGAAGGAGAGAAACATCAGTGTGTGGTTGTCTCTCACGCAACCCCTACTGGGGACCTGGACAGCAACCCAGGCAGGTGCCCTGACTGGGAATTGAACCAGTGACCCTTTGGTTCCCAGGCTGTCACTCAGTCCACTGAGCCACACCAGCCAGGGCTGTTGTGGTTATTGTGATTGCATCAACGATGATAATGGCAGCCCCTATTATTTAGCAGACACACTATGCACGGCGTGCTGTGTGAAAGACTTTATGGGTATTAACTCTGCAGTCTGCAAGTGTATGACATGTTTTAATCCCTCTAAGCCTCAGCTTTTCTATCTGCAAAATGGAGGGAGTACCAGCACTGATGTCCTAGGGATTTCATGAATGTAAGTGCATGAATAATTTGTAAAGCACTTAGAATAGTGTTTGGCATATGATAAGCACTATACAACTGCTTGTTAAAATACTATTTTAAAAGAGTGACAAGCCTCATTGATCTTGGAGAAATGGCCCATCTTGGACCTCATCCTGGAGATGTGGGTCAACTTCAAGCATGACACGGAGGCCACGGTGGGTCCCAGAACACACCTCTCTTTTCTTTCCATCCTCAATTTGCCTAGCACCTCACAGTTTCCAAAGCATGCTCAGCCACCTCATCTCGTTTTTACAGCCCTTTTGGGAGATATTTACACCTCCTCACAGGTGAGGAAGCTGAGGCCCAGGGCCCCAAGACTTTGTAGATATCAGGCCTCTACACATGAAGTCCCTGAAACCACTGTCTGTTTGATTGGGGCTCACGGGTTCTCACCAGCGTGCTTCACCTCACAACAGCCTGGCAGCAGGGACAGGGAGGGGCAGTAGAGGGCCGTGGAATGAAGTTCCGGAGGCTGCCAAGCCAGGCAGAGCTGGCGATGCTTGAGCCTACATGGGCAGACCACGTTTCAGGCCACTTTCATCACGTACAAGTCTCCACCAGGGTCTGCCTGTGTGGATGCAGGGGTGGGTGCCCTGAACTACAGCAGTGTGGACTCCTTCTTGAAGGAGTCTACCAGATGCGGGTTCGGATCCTGGCTCCTAGGACTTTGGAGAGATTACTAACCCCCTCTCAGTCCCCATTCCTCATCTGTAAAGTGGCAATCGTGAGAGCTTTAGCACAGGGCCACACTCAGGTACTACCACTGAAACCCTGGCCGCCTTCTCCATATTTATCGGCTGTTCACAACAAGAAATCTGGGGTCAGAGGGCCTGAGTTTGAATCCCTGCTCTGCTACTTTCTGACGTATTTAACTTTAGGCATGAGGCCTCTCCTCTCTGGACCTCAGTTTCCTTACTTTTGAAGTGGAAATAATAAAAAGAATACCTTCCACAAAGAATGGCCGTAGAGAATAAATGAGTTACTGTATACACGGCACGTAGTTCGGTGCTGAATAAATCACATCATTAGAACCCAGTCCTCCATTGCCTCCCAGGCCAGGAGCCGGGGATGATAGGTCCTGGGAAGGACCCGGACAAAGGGGCTTTGGAGTGGACACTGGGATCTCATGAAACGGGAAGTGTTTGTTTTGCACGTCCCCGGCATGAATGGTGCGGGCACCCTGGGCAAGAGGCACCTTCATATCTGGTCCTTTATAGGGAAGAAAGGTCCAGACCATATGGTCTATAAAGACCATCTCTGGTCTGTACAGAAGAGACAGCCCTGCCTGTGAAATGCTGGGAGGAACCAGGCTGGGAGGGGCCACAGAGGGGTGAGGAAATGTGGGCGGGGGTGACATCCACAGAATGCAGGTATGGCCCAAGATGAGGCTGGGTCTGCCCCAGGAGACAAGCTTTGGAGGAGGCGAGAGGACCACAGCTTTTAAAGATGAGGAAGGTGGGAATGGAAATGGGTTGGGTTAGAGGTTCTCAAAGACTGTCTTCTGCATGCCAGGTACTGTGCCAGGTGGGTTCATTCATCAGTGGGTGTGTGCTGAGCACCTAGGACACGCCAGGCAGTGTTCTGGGCGCCAGAGATTCAGGAGGGAACAGCAGTAGTGTCCCTGCATGCCTGGAGTGTGGTTCCTACTTCAATGGAACCAGATGATAAGGACATCCATTCTCTCTTAATCATCGCAGCAGCCTACATGGTGTATAAGAGCAGCCTCTGTACTCAAGCAAATCTGGGTTTGAATGCCAGCCCCACCTCCGACTCACTCTGTGGCTTTGAGCAAATTGCTTCACCACTTTAATCCTGAATGGACCCATCTGCAACACAGGGGAAATACGTCCACCTCAGGGGTTTCTGGTGAGGATTAAAGGAGAGGCTACTGGAAAAGGACTCAGCACTACATGTGGGCAGAGCAAGCATCATTTCCCCCATTTAATAGCGAAGGACGCTGGGACTCAGTGAAATCAAGGTGCTGGTCCAAGGTAACTCAGCTAGTAAAGGGCACAGCCTAGAACTGACCCAGGCCTGACTCGAGAGCAGCTCTTCAGAGCCCTGTCTACAGAGTTCACATCTGCATTCCACCCCCCCATAGCTGTTGAACCCCAGGCAAGTCGCTTGCCTCCTCTGAACCCCTCTTTGCTGATCTCTGAAAGGTGTGGGAGGGATAATAACATCACCTGCTTCACAGGGTTGTGCGGGTCACTCCATGGCACGTGTGCAGCACTGAGGTTGGCTCATAGTTGAAGCTCAGCTGCTTGCCCAGACAGTGACGCCAGGCGTCGACTGGTGAGCACGGGGAGGGGGGTGCCTGGCACAGTGCAGACACTCAGTACAGTTTTGCTGAATGAATGAGGTGCATTCCAGGACTCACTCACTCATTAATATCAGATGAGGATGGATCTTAATGATCATCTATCTCAAGTCCCTTGTTTCACAGATAAAAAAAAAACCCAACTGAGACTCAGAGAGGTACCTGGAATGGCCCAAGGTTACACAGCTCAGCCACTAGTGCCAAAGACTGGAGCCTGGAAGGCTGGAAGAAGGCAAGGTTAAGAACAGGCTGCTGTCCAGAGGGGGGGGGGCAGGGACGCTGCGTTGAGATTCCATATGGATGCAGAGAGCTGTGAACTGGCTGGGGGAGGTGAAGGAAATGTGGTTTTGGAAATGGAAGATGACTTTAGCAGCCGCTCTCAGCCCAGGGTGGGGCGGGGCGATAGGGAGGGTGGTGGGGGAGGGCGAGGGCTGTGAAAGTCAAGAGCTTATTAATGCACAGAGAACGGTTTTAACGATGGAGAGAGGAGGACCGGATTTGAGAGCTGCCGCGGGATTTGGCAACAGCTTGGATGGGGGGAGGGGAAATGGACCCCCTGGCTGAGGCTCAGAGAGGGAAGGGGCAGGGCTTTTGCAAATGGTAAAATGGGAAAGAGAGGTGGTTGGAATCAAGGAACTTTGTAGCCTAAAAATTAGGACTATGGGCCAAAGGGGCCTGAATTCCCTGGGGGCCCTGAACCTTCGGTCATCCCTTCCTGACCTCCCCACGTCCCAGAGGTCCATTACCTGTGCGCCCTCTACCCGCCTCCTACACACATACACTGATCCTCTGACCAGGTATCTCAGGGCATGTCCCACTCTCACTGACACTCCCTGATCAGGTGTTTGAGGGGAAGGGACTCAGAGCCCACTCCCTGGTGGGCCAGAAAGAAGACCAGGGTACCCGGCCCAGTAGGGCCAGCCCGAGGCCACAGAGGTTCAGGGAGCCTGCTGGAGGCCTGACCTGAGCATGGACGGTGGCACAGGGGGTGAAGAACGCTCAAGTCACAGGCAGCCAAGAAGGTTGAGGGGGACGGATCTCAGTGTGGCCAAGAGAAGGGTTCTTGGCAAGCTCAGTTCCTGCAGCGGAGAGGGCGGAAGCCAGATGGGAGGGGGCGAGAACACGCAGGAGCACAGGAAGGTGGAGGCTGTGGGTGTGGGCTGGGAGTCAATGCCCTCCCCCCACCTGAGAGCCTGTGACCAGACTCCTGGGGGGGGGGGATCATCTCCCCAGACAGGGAAGGGTGGGAGAGCCACAGCCCAGAAACAGGCCCCCCAGGGTGCGCCGACCTGTGCATAGAGGATGCCGGGTGCCTGCGAGCCAGGCCTCCTGGACCTGCCGGCCACAGTGATGCCCTGCATCACTCAGGGAGGACCTCAGTCCCCAGGGCCTGGTCCCTGCTCTGGCAAGCCTTCCATCTCCCTGGGTGTCTTCCCTGTAACAAGCAGGCTGGGCTGGTGGACCCTGGAGCTGATCATCACCGATACCTTAGTGAGCTGGTTAAAATGCAGAATCAAGCCCTGGCCCCTTCCCACCTCCCACCCATGGAGCATATCCACTCCCCACAGCCACACCCCCATTCATTCTGAACCACAGTCCTAAGATTCCCCCCAACAGGAACATGGCCTGCTTGGGCACCTCCGGCCCGGACAAGCAGGACAGCCCCTCTAAGGGGGGCAGCGATGCAGGGCATCAGGCAGTAGCCTCCCTTCCCCCCCCCTGCTGCCTGTGGGGATGGGGAGGCTGACAAGTGGTCCCCTTAATACCTTGGCCTCTTGGCAGACCCCTGGACCCCAGAGAGCTCCTCTGTTAGCACGAAAGGGACGTCAGTTATCTAACTGAGCCCCTATGATCACAAGGACCATCCGTTCTTGATGGTGGTCCATGTGCCTACCAGGTGCTGTACCCTTAAAGCATGATCTCATCCAGCTCTCCCTCCAGTTTGGGGAGGGGGCTGTTATCCCGGCTTCACAGACTGAGGAAACAGAGGCTCCGTGCGTCTGAGTAAGTCACCCGAAGTCACATAGCTGGGAAGAGCGCAAGCCACGTTGGCGCCAGGAGCCAGGACTTCTGAGCCTGTGGGCTGCGTCAGCGGACTGGGTACCCAGCACCTCACCATCTACGCTTTATGTGGGTCATCTGTAATCCTCAGAACAAAGCCATGAGGGGGTACCTTCAACCCCTCTTTACAGATGAGGCAACGGGCTTCCAGAGATTACTGGCATGGCAAATAACAATAATGGCCGCCTTGTAGAATGCCTTCCACAGGGAAGCCTTGTTCTAAGCACCTTAATACACCCAGCTCGATTTAATCTCCACATCATACCGATGAAGAAACTGAGGCACAGAGATCCTGCGGTTTGCCCGAGGTAGCGCAGTCAAGTTAATGATAGATATGGGGTTCGAAGTCAGGAAATCGGGCCCCCAGTCTGAATGCTTAACCAGTGCTTCTTATTCTCCGAGTGTGATCTTCTGACCTGCAGCGTGAGGGCCCCCTGGGAACTTGTGAAGATAGGCAGATTTTCAGGCCAGGCCGTATGGGCTAAATCACAAACTCTGGGGGCAGCCTCTCGGGACCCACAGGGATTCTGATGCACCCAAGAGTTTAAGAACCACCGGCGTCAACTGTATCATTTTCCCACGTTAACCTCTATCCAGCTCAGAGGAGTCAGGATTCAAACGCAGGACTCCGAAAGGAAAGGTCAAATTCTTTCCCATGGTGCTCCCCTTCCTTCCCCTCCTCCAGGCCCCGGGGAGAAATCCCCACCTGTCTCAGGACCACTGACTTCTTCTCCACTCCTAACCCACAGGATGACCTGTTTGCGGACCTGGCCAACTTGAGCCACCTCTTCCTGCACGGGAACCGCCTGCGGCTGCTGACGGAGCACGTGTTCCGCGGCCTGGGCGGCCTGGACCGGCTGCTGCTGCACGGAAACCGGCTGCAGGGCGTGCACCGAGCGGCCTTCCGTGGCCTCAGCCGCCTCACCATCCTCTACCTGTTCAACAACAGCCTGGCCTCACTGCCCGGCGAGGCGCTGGCCGACCTGCCGGCGCTCGAGTTCCTGCGGCTCAACGCCAACCCCTGGGCGTGCGACTGCCGCGCGCGGCCGCTCTGGGCCTGGTTCCAGCGCGCTCGCGTGTCCAGCTCCGACGTGACCTGCGCCACCCCGCCGGAGCGCCAGGGCCGGGACCTGCGCGCGCTCCGAGAGGCCGACTTCCAGTCCTGCCCGCCCGCGGCGCCCACGCGGCCGGGCAGCCGCGCCCGCGGCAACAGCTCTTCCAACCACCTGTACGGGGTGGCGGAGGCTGGGGCGCCCCCCGCCGACCCCTCCACCCTCTACCGAGACCTGCCTGCCGAAGACCCGCGGGGACGCCAGGGCGGGGACTCACCCACCGAGGACGACTACTGGGGGGGTTACGGGGGAGAGGACCAGCGTGGGGAGCAGACGTGCCCGGGCGCGGCCTGCCAGGTGCCCCCGGACTCCCGCGGCCCCGCGCTCTCGGCCGGGCTCCCCACCCCTCTGCTTTGTCTCCTGCTCTTGGCGCCCCACCACCTCTGACTGCGGTGCTGAAACTGCAGAGGCTGGGGTGGCCCCCCGCCCCAGCCCTCAGCTGTGGCTCTGGCCTAGTCCCCGCCCCCGGCCTTGCTGTCTGTCTTTCCACCCCCTGCTCCTCTCTGCCCTAGGACCAGGCCACCTCTCCCTGCCTCCTGGGATGCTGGCTTAAGACCAGCCCCAAGAGGCTGTGTGTGGTGGCTCAGCCCGATTCTCCCCAACTTTGGCCATTAAGTCCTTCCCATCCCAAGGCTGGGGTGGGGCACCCCAGGCAGGCGCTGACCCCTTCTCCCAGTGCCCACGGCGGACTACTCGAAAGGAGCTTTTGTCTGCAAAGCATCTTCCACCAGCAGAGCCTTCGGAAGCTCGGGGAAGGAAGCCCCACCAAGCAGCCCTGCGGAGGGCCCGGCTGACCCTCGGCCCCTGCTTCTCTCCGCCCCCCTCAGCCTCCCGACACTGGAGGAATACTTTCTCCTAAGTCTACCCTGGACACTTTTTAAGGTGCCTGGAGAGAACTTGCCTCTCCACCATGGCCCCTGTGTGGTGAAGATCAACAGAAGTTGTTTGGGAAACAGATTTATTAAAAATTCTATTATTTTATCTTTTTCTGTAAGGTTTGTTGGCTCAGGACTTAGAAGTGGGAGGAGGGCTTAGAACCATCCAGATTTCAGGGCCAGGAGGGTCAGAGAAAGGGAGGTCAACTGTGCCATTGAAGCGCTTCTTGCTCGCCCTAGGATAAGAAGTGCAGCCTGAGGAAGAGGGATGCAACAGGCCCAGACAGGGGTCCCCAGCAGTGCCGAGGAGAGCACCTGAGCTCCTCGTTTGTCCAGGAGGGGCGGCTACAGCCGACCCTGAGTTGTCTGGCACCCCAGGAGCGAAGCCAGGGCGAGGCCTGCAGCTGACTCCCTCCCACTTCCCACCTTCCCCTGCAGGGAGCAGTCCCGCTGCCATCCCTGGTCACAGCCAGCCCAAACACGGCTTTGAGCAAATCCGGAAAAGGCAGCTCTTCCTCGGGGGAGCCCAGCCCTACACCAGAGCAAACACTCAGCAAGCAGAGCCCAAGGCTGGGTTTCAGCTCCCACTTGCTGCTCAGCTGAACACCACAACCTTGGCTCCTGTGAGGTGGAATCAGCGATGGACCACGTCAGAGAAACAGTTCTTCCCGCTAGAGGAGAGAGCAAGGGGCCGGGGTGACCAGAGAGACAAGACTCCCATGTTGGGGTGCCTTGCTGGCTCGGAGTGTGATCAGAAGCTTTGTCTTTCCAGCGTGTGGAGGAGAGGCTGGCCCGGGAGAGCCTGGGCTAAGAAGGACCTAGGGTGGAGGTGAGGAGTGAGTCTCGTCAGACAGAAGCTGTTGGGAGAGGTTTGGTGGTTTAAATTTAGGGTTAGGAATCTAACTGGGGAGGTAGGAATGAAAAGAGAGGGGACCTGGGTGCCAGGGCTCGTGGAGGGGGGATGCGGAGATTCTGTGACTTCTCCCAGGCAGGTCAGAGGATGATGAGAAGGAGGCAGAAACAGAAGGTGTTAACATCCAAGGCCTGAGGCAGGTGGACTCTGGGGACGGGTGTGGGATGGGTATGGGGATACTGACAGCAACCAGCTAGTCAGGACGCAGGGGGGTCTGAGACTGGGGTCTCAACGGGGACCTGTGTCAGTCTCGCTTGGTGAGGCTAATGGGTGGGACTAAGGAGCCAGCCCGGGAGAGCTCTGGTGGAGGAGGGGCTGCTGGGTCCTGGGCAGGGGAGGGAAGATGCTGGTAAATCAGCAGCAGGCTGTCCAGGTCACAGAATTATCGTTGTGAAATATTCATGGGCCTTCGGTCCAGATGCTATTTCAGAACAGTGAAAGCAAGAGGAGTGTGTGAGCCTCAGGAAGAAGCCTACAGCAATGCCACTTCCCCCAGCCCCCACCCCCACCAGCCCAGACAGACCGATGGACGCCTATCACGTGCACACCCACGTTTGCACGCTCTTTCACACACATTCCCACAAAGTGGAGCTACAGAGCACGTGCAGGCACGCCAGCGCCCACAGGTTCTACAAAGGGGCAGACGCGCCCCCGAGACTGACATGCACACACAGCTGCTCGAACAGGACCCGCACAGAGACCACCCACCCACAGGAATCTCTCACACACGCCATCCCCGGCCTCTCCAAACCACCCAGATTCACAGCCTTCAGCCACACACCCTGAAATGGGAGGGACTTTCAAGGCCATCCAGTCTAATGCTCTGATGGGGAAACTGAGGCCCAGAGAGGGAAGGGGCCTTGCCCAAGACACCCCACCCACGACAGAAACAAAACACCCACCCCCCGCATTCTGTGGGTGTGCCCACGGTCTGCATTCTCCTGCCGGCCTGAATGCGATGAACTCCTCCCTTCTCTGGTCCCTCGTGTCTCCTCCCTGGGTCCCTCTGCAGCCCCTGCCCATCCCTTCCTCTCCACTACCCTGCCACCTCCCTGCTCCCTCTTCCCATTACCTCATGTCTAGAATGCAGGAGAAAATAGCACTAACCTCCTCTCCAGCTTTCCTACATTCAGTCTTTCCCTCCCACCCAGCCTGCCCATGGTGGCCGGATTCAGACTCACCAACACTTGCATTTATGTCGGTTCCTCACACAGGAACCCGCCACTGCCCCCTGTTGCCTACAAGGTTAAAGATAAAACACCAAAGCAAAGCATCGGCGATCCTTCAGAGTTTGGTGTCAATGAGCTTTATTGTTTTTTCTCTCATGGCCGTGTCCCAAACCTCCCAAAGCTCCACTCCAGCTAGAACGATTGTACCATGGTGACCGTCTGTTATTACGCACTTAAAACCTGTAACTTACCTTGAACTCTCCCTTAAGTCCTTCACTCTCCCCCAAACTAGGAACCCTCTCCCACTCTCCTCAGATGGCAGTCTCCAGAGCCCTTCCCCAAGGCCAACACTGCATCTCTCTAACCTTATCAATAGGGATTCTTTCACGGTCCTTCAAGGTGCAGGTACAGGCTCATGCTCAGGCTGCCTCCCACTGGCCACCTTGGGAATCGCAGCCCGGCTTCAGCCATCCTAACCGGAGAGTGAGCATCCATCGAGGTGGGGAGATGAATACAGGGACTCGAGATGACAAGGTTTATAAGCCCTTAAGCCTCTAAGGTTCTCACACTAGGAGTGGGAGGAGGGCTCTCAGCGCTGCTTTCTGAGCTACTGGCTCCTGATTTAAGCTCCCTGAGCCAGGAGAGCCCCTCTCCTGTGGAATACAAAGACTAGGGGCCCCCAGGGGCACTGCAGAAGGGAAACTCACCCACCAGGCTCTGAGAGGCCACGAGGCCAGCAACAGTCCAGGTGGCAGGCCCAAGGTCCAGCTGGGGTCAAGTTTCTACATGAATTTTTAATGCTTCCAGCCAGACCTGTCAGATGTTCCGAAACCTGAGCATCTCCTTTCATCTCTGTACGTGATGCCCTTCTCCATCCATTGCCCCTGGGGAGGGTCAGGGAGGGCAGGCTTGGGACAGCTTACCCAGTGGCCTCTGGGGAAATGATTCAGGGGAAGCAAAAAGATGAATGACCTAGTTATTCTCCCATTTACTGTGTGACCTTGGACAAGTTACTGAACCTCTCTGAACATCACTTGTGTTTTTTAATTTGTAACCTGGGGGCAATAGTGCCTGTCTAAATTGAGTTGCTGTGTTAACTAAGGTGACCTACATGTTTGCTGTTACTATCTTTCCCTCCTGCCTCCCTCCTTTTGTTTTTTCCCCCCAACCCCAGGGGTGCCTCTGCCCCTTTCTTTTGGAGATGGGGTCTTTGGTTGGCTCTGCCATTCTGTGCTAAGATCCAAACTACTAGTGTTGAGGTCCTTTGGCCTTGTTAGAAGCTTTGGATGATGAGGAGGAGGAAGGCATGTGAAGAGAAGCAAGGCTAGTGGAATGAGAGAGGAAGATGGAAAAGCTGAGGCCAAGGGCAAGGAAGCAGGCAGTAAGACTGAGGAAGGGTAAGACCCTGCTCGGAGAAACAAGAGCCAGGTGCAGACTCTCTCTCTCCTCCCTTCCTCTCCTCCCTTCCTTCCCTCCTTCCTGGCAACTTCTCCAGGGCTTGTCCTATCACACCGGAAGCAGAGACGGCCACTCCGGGCAGAGGCGAAGATGCATGGAGGAAGGGTAGGGAGTTGGGGGCAGGGCTGTCCAAGGAAGTGTGCCCAGTCTTTCCAGCCTGCCAGTTCCCTGCACCATGCTTCACAGAGCGAGAGCCTTTTCCTTCTGACTGAGGTGGGAAGCTGCTAAATACAGGTTCCTGAGCCCCTCAGACCTGCTGAATCCCACCTCCAAGGGGGACCCTGGAAAGTGCATTTTAACAAGTGGGGGTGGGTTACAAAGCATTAAAGACAGAAATATCTCCTTAAATGTAGGTGGTCCATGGCCGGGTGGGGGTGGGGGTGGGGGTAGACAGGAGAAAGCAAAGGAAGAAATGTTAGATGCCGCCCCACCTCCACGCAGACTTCTTGGGAAGTTACAAACAATACTCCTGCGTGGCGAGGTGGTGTCAGTGATGGGGAAGAGAGAATGGAGAGGTGGAGAGGCCACGGAGACAGAAAGGGGGTGGGGGACACAGAGAAGGCGACACCCAGGGTAAGCATCCACGGAGGGAACAGGCTTGCAGGGTGCACCCCCTCCTCCCCTGCGAGACTGCACTTCCGGCCCCGGGAGGTGGAGACCCTGGAAGAGCCCCACACTTCGTTTCTGGGCGGAGTGTCAGGGAGGGGACCTCCCAACCACAAGTACCCGCGCCCTCGCTGGAAGTTCAGCGCACGGATGAACGGAGGCACACCTGCCACTCTTGGGCCGGGACCCTCGAGTCCTCCACTCGAACTGGCTCGGGTGCGGCACGGGTCTCACCTCCTCCCTCTGTCCCCAGCCCCAGATCCCAGCTCATCTGCATAAAGTTCCAATTAACACTTGAATCTCCTACAGCTTGTAGATACAATCCCTGAACACGCTCCAGGCTCAGGAGCCCTCTTCCTGCCTCCCCGTGCCTCCCGGATTGCCGCCCCATTAACCCACGCGACCCAGCCGCTCCCCGCGGCCTTGACCCCGCTGGCCTGGCCAGCGCCGCGGGCGGGGGGTTGGGGGTCTTAGGGAATCAGGGGCGCGCCCGGGCGAGCG